GGGGGAGGGGGAGGGCGGTGCCATGGCCGTTCTCATCCAGCCTCTCTCTCCTCTCCACCCCGAGTTCCCGCAGGCGGCTCTTGCGTGTCTATCTGTGCTAAGACGTTTTTTTCGTGTCTACACTGGTCTCCCCCCCACCCCACCCCCCGCCCTCAGGTGCTCTTGTCGCTCACAGTAGACTTTTCTGTGCTGAGTCTCATGCGTTTCTTGTCTACGAACCGTCTCCCAGTGTTGAATTTGGGAGAAGAATTTGTTTTTTAAAAGTTTTTTTTTAAATATATTTTATTGATTTTTTACAGAGAGGAAGGGAGAGGGATAGAGTTAGAAACGTCGATGAGAGAGAAACATCGATCAGCTGCCTCCTGCACACTCCCTACTGGGGATGAGCCCACAACCAATGTACATGCCCTTGATCAGAATCGAACCTGGGACCCTTGAGTCCACAGGCCGACGCTCTATCCACTGAGCCAAACTGGTTAGGGCTTGTTTGTTTGTTTTAACAGGAGAAAAACAAATTTGATTTTGTACGTACAAGAGCCCATGAAACTATGAGACTCAAAGAAGTGACCACAGCAGGAGGCCTTTCCACTTTTAGACAAAGAAACAATAAATTCAGCCCGGCCGCCGCGGCTCGGGGGCTGAGCACCAACCTATGAACCAGGGGCTCACGGTTCGATTCCCGGCCAGGGCACAGGCCCGGGCGGCGGCTCCATCCCCGGTGTGGGGGGTGCAGGAGGCAGCCGACTGATGACTCTCTATCATTATTGGTGGGTTATCAATGGGAGAACTGTAATCCCTCTCCCCCAAACCGTCAGATGCCGCCAAGGGAAGGCAGGGGAGGGGGAGGCCGGTCACAGGGCTGCGACCCGCGTGGGAACCCTTACCAGAGCCCGCGATGCTGGTGAGCTTGCTGCGCTCCAGCGGGGGCGCCCACTTCGCCCAGATGGTGAACTGACCTGTCCATGCCATTCCCTGAAATGAAAACCGTTCAGTCCTTCACTCACTCGCCAGCAGGACTCCGGAGTCCGTTCGCCCCCCCACCCCACGCCCCCGGGGGAGAGCGCCTCCGGCACCTGGGCCATGCCCTGGGCGACGCGAATCACCATCACCAAGCTCACGCCCAGGTCAGCGGCCAGCGGCGTGCAGAGGCTGAGCAGGGAGGAGCCCAGCAGCCCCGCCCCCAGCATGTGCTTGGCGCCAAATATCCCCGCCAGGTATCCGCTGGGGATCAGAGTCAGCAAAATCCCGTAGCTGATGGAGCTGAAGAGGATGCCCTGGGTCTCTGGGCTCCATGCGTAGACGGAGGTCTGAAAAGGAGGAGAAAGGAAAGCTCGTGGCTGCGAACGGGGGCTTCCCAGCCAGAGCGCTGTGGTCGGTGGGGCCTCCCATGGAAGGCCGCATTTGGTTTCTCTCTCTTTTTTCTTTTTTAAAATCTAGCTTAAATATCCCACCGTTTCCAAAATCACTAATTATATGCCTAATTACTTTTAATATATTTTTATTGATTTCCGAGAAGAAGGGAGAGGGAGAGAGAGAGACATCAATGATGAGAGAGAATCGTTGATCGGCTGCCTCCTGCACGTTCCCTACTGGGGATCGAGCCCGCAACCCTGGCACGTGCCTTTGACTGGAATCAAACCTGGGACCCTTCCGTCCACAGGTCAACGCTCTATCCCCTGAGCCAAACCGGCTAGGGCAGGGAGGACTCTTGCTCCTCAAAGTGTGTCCTACTGACCAGCATCACATCGCTGATTGCTAGGAATGCAGACTCTCAGGCCCTACCCCAACCCACTGAGCCCACAGCTGCCCTGTAACAAGATCCTCAGGTGACGCGTACACCCGTGAGAAAATGTCAAGGACTGTCCTCGGCCATTGCGTAACTCCCATGCAGCTCACTGGGGCCTTTCCCACGGCTCCAGACCTCCCTGCCAGTGGCTCCCACTTGCTCAGATGAGGCCTGGGCAACCCCTCCACCCCCCGCCTCCGGGCTCTGGTGTTGTTTCCCCAGCTGCCTGTGATCAGCCCACAGGCCCCGCAGTGGAACTGGGGGAATGAGTGTGTGCGGAATGCCCGTGCACAGACCTGAAAACCTTGCTAGCTTCCTGCCACCACTCTCAGCCCAGCCCCCCCGCCCCCCTCTC